ATATATAATATATATAGGACGACATTCTCCCATTTTAAAAAGCATGAGCCTTGTTAGTATTTATAACACGAAGACAATCATATATTAGACACATCACCCATTTCAGGACCCCGAGAGATATCTTTTCTCTCTCTCTCTCTCTCAGCAATACATTCTCTCATCCTCCTATCATAATCTTTAAGACACATCACCCATTTCAGGACCCCGAGAGATATCTCTTCTCTCTCTCTCCCAGCAATACATTTTCTCATCCTCCTATCATAATCTTTAAAATGAGGCTTATTTAGCCCTTGTTTCATAAGATGCTGAATGAACCGACATTTCATTGTAGTAAACTCCAACGACGAACACCAACACATGTATTTGCTTTTGTTTTGTAAGACTGTGTCTCCGAAAGTTATTTCAAAAGAGCAATTTGTTATGTTTTAGATCACATATGACAATATCCGTTCCACGGAAGTGGCTTTTAAGAAAGCTTCACCGAACATCGAAGCTTCTTCAAACGAGCCCTCAGTTCTCGATCAATGTAGGTTCAATTAACTTCACGAAAACTCACAACTCTCGAGGATCCTTTTTATGAGGCAAGTGTTTTGTGATATTTCAATGAGTCTACAAGTGTAGGCCCGCATGATCATGCAAGCCATCCTCCATATTGATACTACTAAATAATTATGGCTTTTTATGTTGTTTTCTTTGAAAGACCCATTTTAGAAAACTTTGATGGCAAGAAAAGGCTTTTAGCACAAACTAATTAACTCTCAATTTAATTGGTGATGTAACTTTTTAAATGTTTGATATTGACACACTTGAAATAATAAATTACAATTTCAATCTAAATTTTATAGAAAGTCAAATCACAAATGACAATAATTGTAAATATCATTTTGCAAGAATTATCTAATTTTTTCAATCTGAAGAAAAATGTTTCTTTCATAAATCGTCTAATGTAATAATGTTGTTGAAAATGATGTTCTGTGTACCGATTTGATTTGCAGAATTATCTAATTTTTTCAATCTGAAGAAAAATGTCTCTTTCATAAATCTTCTAACGTAATAATGTTGTTGAAAATGATGTTCTCTGCACCGATTTGATTTTTTTTTTTTTTTGGCTCAAATTGGAGAAAATGGTGTGAGGAAAATTATATAAAATTTGGAGGACGAAGAAGAGGTGGGCGGAGCCGCGAGGCATTGGAAGAGAGAGGAATTTGATTTCTGGGGAATGGAAGATTGAAAGAGAAGGAGGAGGGGGAAGACGAAAGTAGGAATTTCAATGCTCAGCACGCTCTGAATCGATGGTTGCGTCTTTCAATTTAGGCGAAAGCTGTGGGATTAGAGTCTGGAAATTTTTTATTTAGATTTGATGAAGATCGGACTTGGTTTCGATTCGTTACTGACTTAATTCAACAGTAAGTGCCATACTCTCATAGTTCGATCTTGGTTCAGAACTTGTCGGTGATTCCGTTCTGAGGTGCGTGTTTGTATTTTATTGGTCTAGGTTTCTTACCTCCGCAATTTGAAATTGTTTCTGTTGCTAGGTTAGACGTTAGTCTTTTTTTTGGGGGTGAAAACATTTGAAATAATATTAGGGAAGAAACTGTTTTGGATGTTCAGGTTGTTCTTGTTTCTATGTGTAGATGATTTCTGACTTTGTATGTGTGTATTCGTTTTTGTAATTCTCTTTCCGCGTTTCATTGTCATCCTTGGATCTGAGAGGGATATTGGGACATGAATGCTTTCTTGGTTTGATAGGGAAGGATCTCCTGCTCGTTTTATTTTAGGTTTTGAGTGGGTTGGACTGATTTTATGCGGGATTTCTGTAAATCTGAGTTTAAAAAACTATTATTACTATTTATTTATTTAATTTTAATGAATTTTGACATGACTATAGTGGTTTATTGAACTCGGTGGATATCTGCTTTCTGTTATCTATCTTTTGTGCTTTGCGTAACTCCATAATGTGTTTCTTTTTGTCATAAACAAATGACAATTTTTGTATGAGATGACTTCAGAACACAACCACATCAGTCTTGATCGTTTAATTTAAGGGCCTGTTTGGCAACAAATAGGAATTAATTGAAATTGTATTTTGTAAATCTACTAAATTTGTATTTAGTAAATTCTGGCGAAGTTAAATCTTTAAAATTATTTGTTATGATAGATGTTAAATCTGTTTAAATTTTAATGAAGTATTTGGAATTTTTGTTTCTATAATTTTGATTTAAAGAAGGAAAAGAGGCACATTGAGTGAATTGGTGTGAATCTTTTAAATCCTACGTCTCATAGGATTTACTTAATCCAAGATTTATCCAATAATCAGAGAAAAATGAGATTTAGGGTATGTTTGAGATAGCTTTCTGTCAGCTTATCTTTTCAGGCCGCCACCATAGTTTTGTTTGGAGATTGCTTTCTTGCATTTTTTTAAAAATTTATATGGTTGAAAGCTGTTTTTTCAACCCGAGCTATTAAATTGTCATGACTAACTGAAAGTTGTAGTCTGACTTTTTGAAAATAAATATTTGTACTAGTCACCCCAACTTTTTAAAAAGTAATTTTTTCTACAACAAATTTACAATTATTTCTTCAAACATCTGTAGCTGCCCCAAACAGAACCGTTAGATAAGTTGTAGAATTTTTTAGACTTAAAAAATTGTGATACAATATTTAGCCTAAAACTTTGGGCTTAAATTTTATTAAATTATTCAATGAAAGATCCGTAGGAGAAGCTTAAATCTTAAAATTATTTGACAAGAATTGATCGATCATTTTTAGTTGACAACAATCTAGTTTACTTAGTACATGATAACTTTGTTCTTGCTTGTGCATGTGAAGTCATGAGTGCTCTCATTTTTCAGAGAGGAAATGCCACCATCAACAACATGGGGTTGGGACATACAAGGGGGAGATGTCTCAATGAAGAGAAATGCTGAAAATAGATTGATATAATAAGTTTCTTATGATTACTTTAGGTTTCAATGGTCATCAAATATATTTTTTTATTCCTTATTTAGGACTTGGTTTAATGTTTGAGAAAATGAACATTTTATATTTGCTTGGGGATTGTCATAATCCAATCCAAACCAAAAAGAATTATTTCATGAAATGAAAGCCCAAGTCATCTTAGGATGCAAAAAAAATTAATAGAAGAAAACTGAATTGAAATAAACATATTCAAACTATACTCTATGATGTGGGTGCTTCGTTAAAATCAACATACACACATATCTCACCATTTGTTGGTTTTGTTTTCAGTTTGGAATTTAATATTTCATATCTACTTTGCTCTATACATTTGTTTATTTTGTGCTTCTTCCCACATGTGCAAGGCCCATCAATTTACCTCTTTGAAATGATTTTAAGGTGTAGGAAATAATACTTTTCTACTACTTTGCATACCGAGTAGGGTTGTAAGTGAGCCGAGCTCGAGCGAACTCATGCTTGGCTTGTGTTCGACTCGTTTGAGATTAATTTTGTTCAAAATTGTTCTTAAACATTGTGTTCATGTTTGACTCGATTTACAAATACTTGATGGTGTACGATTTGAAATTGATTCACTTAAATTAATTAGAAAATAGATGTATGATTCGAATTTACACCATTCTCATGTCATAAAAAGCACAAAATGAGATGATCACACGAGTTGCAGTGAAATATATTATTATATAAATATTATATATAATTTTCTTATTTTGAGTTAAAATCAGCCGAGTACGATCGAACAAAGGGTTGTTCATTTTCGACTCGTTTATAATTTGAGCTTGAAAAAATTATTGGTGTTTGGCTCGCTTACTTAATGATGATTCAAATACAAACTACTTAAGGAGCCGTACATTAGTTGTTCTCAAACAACAAACTTTTTTGACAGCCTTAATAACATGTGTATATTGCACAAGTACATTACTAGGCACTATGAGGCGTGTCAAGCACAAATGAGCAGAATGTAATATTTGGAGTTGTCATTTTAACAGCCCACTGAACTTTTTTTATTGTTTTTGTTTTTGAAGCTTAATTTTCTTGTTTCTCATCCAACCATTAAAAACACATTCATCATGTCTAAGTTTCACTTAATAATGCATATAAATTCTCTTGGTGTTGTTCTAGTCATTTTTTCAATTTATTTCCTAAATACATGCTTTCTTGTGTGGGGTTGTATTTATAAATTTATACTCTGTAATTATAAGAAACATAATTCCACGATTCTTTATAAATATTTTGTTGTATTTAAATTGGTTTGGTTGAGGCAAAGTCAAACCCAACTTTAGACTTCGGTCTGTTTGGGTTGTTTGCAATTGCCCATAAAAGCTATTGTAGAATACTGCAGGGAAAGTAGATTCTTAAAAAACTGCTGCAATTGTTATAATCATTTTATTTTTAAAAATTTCAACTAATAAGTTTCTTATAACTAACACACTTTAATAATTTTTTGTAAAATACTCCATAATCATCCCCTGAAGTTTTGCGAGCTCATTCCTGCCATTTGACTTTCTACTTATAGGTAAGGGTCAAGGTGGACACTACATAATTACCTCAGAGGCCATGAACCACGTGAAGGTAATTGTTTTTAAGCCATGGTCAGTTTTGTGATGACCAATTGGCCAAGTTCTTTAATCTGAATGCTTGAAGTAATAATAACTTGGGGTTGATGAGAATTAATATACATGAAAAACTCAGAAAACGTTAAGGGGAAAATATGCAAGAAAATGATCGAAAAACCAACATCCCTATATCACAAAGGCACGAAAAAGATTTAGCTATTCATAGAAAAAAGAGATGACACTAGGAAATCCATAAATTATAATGATGCAAGTAGCATTACCAAGTAAAAATAACTTACAATGGAGGTTCTCCTTTTCTCTACAGCACTTGATTTCTCTCTCATACATGGTTTTCTGTAAGAAAATAAGAAAACAAGAAGAAAACAAGAGAAAATGAGTTTTGGTGATGAGTACTTTAGTTGACTGCATTTTAATTGGTTTCTTGTTGAGTACTTCTTGGGTGAAAATGCTTTATAAATTAGTAGTCAAATTTGTTTGCTAAGTACCAAGGGCCAAATCTCATGGATTAAGCACTTTGGCAACTTGGTATTTTAGAGATTTTTGATGTATGACTTTAAGTTCATATATGATTTTGGTGAATTCAACAGTTCTTAGCCGCTGAGATTTGATTAGGTCTTGTTTTCACCTTACGCTAAGAAGGCTGAACTATATCAAATTGAGAAAAACACATTTAGAGAAAAAAATAAAAGGGTTGGGATTCCTAGAGAAATGCCATGTATTCCCCCTGATCTTGCATGCAGGTGCTTGCTACTTGATTTTCTATTTATAGGCGAGGGCCAAAGTTGACATTATATAATGGCCTCATAAGCTATAAACCATCACTAAGGTAATCAGATAGGAGCTGTTGTTGGTAATGTGGCGATTGAGCAATTGTCTCGTTTATTATAAATGCTTTGAATGATCGTTGTGCATGGGTAAAAAACTAACTTTTTCGTTGAGCATTGCAAGTGAATAGCTTTAATTAACTGTTTGGTAAGTATTTCTTCGATGGTATTATTTTGTAGGTGTGATTTAGCGGTATTTCATAGTTGAATATTGAGTTGCCAATTCTGGTGGATCAAATTTCTTTTTTCTAACTTGATGCTTTGGAGATCTTCAATGAGCAACTTTCAATTTTGGCCTGTTTTGGATAAATTCTGCATTTATTAGTCTCTAAGACTATTTTGTTTCATTTATTAGTGTGGTGCACTTGACTTGGGAGGATATACATTTATATTTATTTTCTAATTCTCCTTTTGTTTTATAAAATTGAGAAAAACAGAAGTATGAAAACTTTCAACAAATTTGTCTGATGTCCTTCATAATTCATGCTAAGTGTGATTTAATGAAATGGCATTAATTTTATCAACTTCTTGACTTTTGATCTTTAAATTTAGTTTTTTTGGGTTTCTTTTGAGATATTTTCTTACCAACACATTTCATGTGTCATTTTTGCTCTTTTTACTCAATGAATGAATTCAATGATTTGGCTTGCTGCTATGTGATGAGATATAGGGAAGCTCTTCTTAAGCAAAAGTATCTTTATCCATGGAAGGCCTTTGGCCTAAAAAGGGTGATTTTAGATGGACCACAATTGTGTCAAGAGCTTTTGCCAAATTTAAGGGACTTTTGAGTATCTCACTTATGCTGAGATTACCTGAATTTAGCAAAATTTTTTAGGTATTTTTTGTGATTCTAGTGTTGGCATTGGAGTTGTCCCTAAGTAGGAGGAACATGTTATTATTTACCTAAGCAAGAAGTTGAATAATTTACATCAACATCACCTGTTCAATGAATGATTTTTTTTGCGGATTAGCATCATTATCTTATATATATATTTATAGATTTTTTCCTCTTTTTGAATCTCGTCACTCTCATATATTTGAATGCTTTGAACAAATTGAAATTTATATATGCTAAGTAGTTACAATTTTTTTCAAGGGTATACATTTGTCCTCAAACATAAAGATTTTATTGAAAATAAAGTGGTTAAAGCACTTAGTAGAATACCCACTTTTTTATAGATAATGAAATAAAATCTTCTTAGTTTGATAAGATGATATATAATATTCTGACTACCGTATCGATCCTTGAATGTACGAGTTCATGACAAGAGGAACCTTTACTTAACTTTGACTTCTATAACAAAATATTTACTTTTTTGTGGGGCTCATTTTTTTATCATTGATTTTTCTCTCTGCAATTTTCATCAAAGAGTGGCATGCCATAGGAGTGGCTGGACAGTTTGCACATAAAAAGCAATAGCCATGATCGAAGATTAATTTCATTAACCTAGTCCTGGAGGATACTAGAAGCAATACCGGCTTGATAATGCTCAACTCGGAGCCCAACTTTGATGGTGTAGAACCCAACTATAGTGCCGTGGCACTCGACGAGGATGTCCCGTGTATGTTGCATAAAAATGAATGCCAACAATCCTCCTGATCGCTTTGGGTGGGAGCTTGACATTGCTAACTTTTTCTCTTATTCTAACATCTCACTGTTTATATATCCAAGTGTTGGTAGGTTGCTAAAGATGATCCCAAGTGGAAAGCGGAGATGCATGAGGAGCGTGGGGCTCTTGATAAAAATCGAACATGAAAAATCGTACCATTACCAGTGTGGAAAAAACCATTGCTAACTTTTTCTCTTATTCTAACATCTCACTTTTTCATGGAACATTCATTGCATCATTGGACTTTGTTTATATATCCAAGTGTTGGTAGGTTGCTAAAGATGGTCCCAAGTGGAAAGCGGCGATGCATGAAGAGCGTGGGGCTCTTGATAAAAACCGAACATGAAAAATCGTACCACTACCAGTGGGGAAAAACAATTGGGTGCAAGTGAATCTTCACAGTGAAACAAACTCCAGAGGGAATGTTTAAAGGTATAAAACTTGATTAATGACAAAAGGGTACAGTCAAACCTATGACATTGACTGCGACGAAACCTTTGCACCAGTAGCAAATATGAGCACGATAAGGACACTAGTTTCTCTGACAGTGAATGATGGATCGAGGTTACACAAACATGATGTGAAAAATGCTTTTTTTCATGAGGAGCCACTCGAGGAGGTATATATGGATATACCACCAAGAATCAGTACATCACAAACAATTGACAATGTGTGTAGGCTCACGAAGTCACTATATGGCTTGAAGCAGTCTCCTCAAGCCTAGTTTGACAAATTTAGAATGACAATTTTTAACATGAGATCAACAGATCAATGCAGACCACGCAGTGTTTTTTTGACGATATGAACGTCACACTACCATACTTGTTATATATGTAGATGACATAATTATCTCCGGTGACGATGAGACAGAGATTGCTCATTTAAAGGGAAGCTTGGGTAATCAATTCGAGGTAAAGGATCTAGGACAATTTGATATTTTCTTTTGATTGAAGTGATTCGTGGACCTGAGGGGATGATCTTATCCCAGAGAAAATATGTACTAAATCTCCTTACATAAACATGTATGCTAGGACGCAAACATGTAATCTCTCCAATTGATCAGAAGGTCAAGCTGAGTGCAGAGACAGAAGAACCTGTTGATCATGAGATATACCAGAGACTGGTGGGCTGCCTGATTTATCTGTGCCACACCCGACCCGATATCTCTTCTGCAATAAGTGTGGTGAACTGCTACATGCATGATACAGACTGGTGGGCTGCCTGATTTATCTGTGCCACACCAGACCCGATATCTCTTCTGCAGTAAGTGTGGTGAACTGCTACATGCATGATACAAGGGTTATAAGGATGCAGCGTATTAGATCCTGAGATACTTGAAAAGTGTACCAGGGAAGGGGCTGGTCTTCATGAAGAATGGACATTTAAACATTTAAGGCTTTTGTGACTCTGACTGGGCAAGTTGTGCAGATTACAAACAATTTATCTAGATACTGCATGTTTGTAAGGGGCAACTTGGTCTCTTGGAAGAGCAAGAAACTGTCGGTGGTAGCAAGATCAACAACAGGGCCAGAGTATATGACCATGGCATTAGGGGTTGCGGAGATGATGTGGCTGAGAGCCTTTTTGGCAGAACTCGAGGTGGACCAGGGAACTCAAATGAAGTATTGCTACGATAACAAGTTAGCAATCAACATTGCCAACAACCTTGCACAACACGATAGAACCAAACATGTGGAGATTGATAGGTTCTTCATAATGGAAAAGCCGAATAACGGACTACTGGAACTAAGCCATGTAACTACTGAAGAGCAACTGGCTGATTGCCTCGTTGAAGGACTTAGTTCATTGGAGTTGTTTGGATTATGTGACGAGACGGGCTCAGTGGATATCTTTTGCCCATCTTGAGGGGAAGTGTTGAGAGTTATGTGTAAAAAGGATTATTTGTGGGTTTATTTGTAAACAGCTGTAACCTATTAAGTTTAGGTTATGAATGAAATAATTAGGTTTTTTGTACATTTCTTTTCTATTGTATTTCCTTTTCCATTTGAGCCGCGTTGTAACCCTAATGCGGTATTAATGAAGTTTGTTTGTGTGTTTCCGCTAATTTCTTTCCTAGTTTTTGTATCAGGAAGTCTAGTTTAACATATTAACTTCAGAACTGCAGGGTAAATTTTAGGAATATTTAATTCTTTCTCGATGTCATTAAATTACATTTCTGCCTGTTACCTTTGTACTTCTTACCGATTGATATCTGTGACTTTTTCTTTTATTGTTGCACAGGCTGCAGTGGAACATATCTGACTTCCACATTGAAGGAATGGAACATGATTATGGAATGAATGATGTGGAGGATGACTTGGAAGAAGAATTTCTTGGAATAGGGATGGGACACTCAGAATCTGATGATGATGAATATGTACATATTGTACGATAATTTCTTGAAGACATCTTTCTCTTTGAAAGCCAGCTCCATCCTTTTATTTTGAAAGATTTACATAAATACCACTCAATTCTTATGTTACCAAACTTCAAATTTTACATACATACCACCTTGCCTATGCATGAAAAGATGTATTTCACTTTTTAAAAGTTTAAATGGTGGTATTTTTGATATGATATGAAAGTTTTGAATGTTACAAATGTAAAAAGCAAAGTTTAAGTGTTGGATAGGTAAATACATAGGAATTGGGTGGTATGTATGTAAATGCCCCTTTTATTTTCTTGCTGATACATACTTGTTTTGAGAACTTGGCAGTTTTTCCAAATATTTTTCTTAAAATTTTATTTATACTTCTAACAAGATTTTCATGCAGAATGGTAGAATAACAGATACTTCGTCAGCACAAGCAAGGAAAGGAAAGGACTTACAAGGGATTCCCTGGGATAGGCTAAGTATCACGAGGGCCAAGTACAGAAAGACTAGACTAGAACAGTATAAAAATTATGAGAATGTTACCAATTCTGGGGAATCTTCAGCGAAGGTACTCTCAGAAGACATTCTGTGTTTTTTATTTTTGTTTTGCTTGTCTGAACTTAACTGTTGTTGTACAAAGGGATGCAAGCCAACAGAGAAAGGGAAGATGTATTATGAGTTTTGGCGCAATACAAGGTCTGCTAAATCGACTATTCTTCATTTTCAGGTAATAAAAAGTCATGTCTAAATTAGGAATCTTCATTGTGTTTTCCATCAATAATTTGTTTTTTTTTTTTTTTACTTTTAGATGACACTTTGATTACAGTTTTTGCCTGTGAATATAAGGTTATTGTTATGAGTTATATTATTACCTTCATGGTACATCCCCCAAGAAACATAAGCTTATGAATTCTGAATGTAAGATGTTAGAAATGTTTGGACAGTTTGGTGATTGTGTTTGAATAGAGATTGTTATTTCATTACAAGATATAATAGAAATTGAATGAATGTTAGATGGAGGAGAAAGCAATGACTGTTAAATGCTACGGCTTTACTCCTCAAATATTGATGGGGTTGATAACAATTTTGTGGTCACAATATTAGGGCTTTAAATAAGCAGTTACAGATGTTAAAACTATATCGATTGAAACTTATTATGTTGATTTTTTTTTTTAAATTTAGTATTTTTTTCTTATCAAAGTTATTGTAGAGAATTTTGGGGTGCAGATTAAAGCAAGTACATAAAAAGAGTAATTTTAACATTCTCACACCAAGGATTTCCCTGGCGAATTAGGGCATCTTGTGTGAAAATAGAGAAACATTTGAGGTAAAAAAATTATGAAGATTTATATTTTTGCTAGGTGTTAAGAAAACTGGAAACAAGCAAACCACATATAATTGGTTGTCACAAAAGATTCATGATTTGGTGCATAAACAATTGGATATATTATCAAAATAAATAAATACATAGCAAGTTAAAAATGACATATGACTTGTCTCTGTCATATATGAAATTATGATATTTAAGAGAGTTGACAATTGATATTAATTCTGAAGCAATGCATGATAACTATAGATGGAAACCCGTATTAAAGTTGAAACTTCTAAATAAAAATTCTCACAGATTACTTATACCAAGGACGGCGTAGATATTTCTATTAAAATATTTTTTATCAATTTCAAGCTTTGTGTGGAACTTTTTGCTATTGGTTATAGGCATCTTATTGGTATCAATACTAATCACTTAAAATCAAATTATTTAAGTTTTTTACTATTTGCATATTCTTTGAATGAGAATATTGATTTAGTCATGATTGTCTTTGCTATTATTGAAAGTGAATCTAAAACAACATGACAATCGTTTTTAGAGAATTTGGTTTTGATTATCATATTCTTAGTTTTTATTTTCAGATATAGAGAAAAAATGATCATGTGAAGCCATTGGGAATGTTTTCTCACTTGTTGAGAGTATATAGTTTGCATGCGACATCACTTCTAGAAGAATACTAAGAAAGATTACTATTGTCAAGATAGTAAGGAGATTTTTAACATTTTTTAGATAGTTTCAAATGTATACTCAATTGCATGAGTTTAAAGATGTTTGAACTGTTAAATGTTAGCACATATTTTCATTTATATCTTCTCAATCCATCATTTAAATTGTCCAAATATAAATTTTCACCTAGCATTAAAAATTAATAAGATACATATATTATGATCGAATTATTCAATTCATAGATTAGAGAAACTAGATCTAAACCTATAGTTGATTTGGTAGACATGATTAGATGAATGTTAATGAACAAGGAACTGAACAAAAAATGAATTTATCAAGGAGGAGAGAGAATTAGTTTTATTTGATGGGGAGTTTATTAGCGAAATAATAATTAAAACGATAATTTTATCATCAGACAATAAACAAAGTTCACAACAAAGGTTGAAGGTTATCATGAAAGATACTAGATTGATATTGAGACTAGATTGTAGTTGCAGATACTTACAAATATTTATGCTATCATGTATTTATACAATTATTTTTACAGGTGCAAATGAACATCCACATATAACATGTATATGCGTATCATTTATACAATTATTTTTACAGGTGCAAATGAACATCTACATATAACATGTATATGCAGAGGATTCTTATTACATCTTTAGACAAATTTATATTTTTTATCAACACCCCAATCATTTGATACTAATGAAGTTGTTTTTAATACAGGCATCGATTGATATATGAATGTGCTATCTCCACTCTACTAGAGAAAAAGCAGTGAAATGCAAGCTTTTATTATATCAAGGGTGATATTCACTATTTCTTCTAGTGGAGATACCGTCTTCATAAGCTAGTCAATATTCGCATTAAAGACAACTTCATTAGTGTCAAAAATCAGGGTGTTAGCAAAAAAATATAAATTTATCTAATGATCTATATATGTGTCACAATAGTTGCTTCTTGCACCTATAAACATAGCTACATAAATACATAACAGCCTAGATATTTGCTAGTATCTAAACTTGCACTGTCTACTCTCAATATCAACTTTGTGCCTTCCATGATGTCTTTAAACTTCTGCCGTATATTTTATTGATTGTCTGATAATATAATGATCACAACTAATTATTCTTTCTCTAGTGTACTTTTCATCAGATAAAATTAGTTCTCTTTATATTGATAAGTTTATTTTTTGTTTAGCTCTTTGCTTTATTATCATTCCTCTAATCATATCTTCCGATTCAACCACTTGTTTAGATCCAATTTCTCTAATCTATGAATGGATCTATTCGACCATAATATACTTATTATAGTATTTCTTAATCTTAGACAATAAATCTCATTTTGACCAGTTATATGATAGATTGAGAAAATATGAATGAAGATACAAGTTAATATTCAACAATTCAAGTATTTTATTTTCAAACTCATACCTAGTATATATATTTGTAGCTGCAAAGAGGTGCTCTGAATCTTTTGACAATATTGACAATGGTAATATTTCTTAATATCCATAGTTATCACATGCAAATTCCATGCTTAGCATATAGAAAAACATTCTCGATGACTTCTCAAAATTCTTCTTCTATATCTTAAATAAAAGTTAAGGGGTTAATCTTATAACCAAATGAATCAATCAAATTCTCTAAAAAATGCTTAGCATATAGAAAAACATTCTCGATGACTTCACAAAATTCTTCTTCTATATCTTAAATAAAACTTAAGGGGTTAATCTCTAAAAGTTAGCCAATTTTTTTTTCCTTCACTTTCAACAATGACGGATAATCATGAACAAATCATTATTTTTCGTCCAAAAAATTTGCAGATAATAAGATACTTAAATTTTTTGATATTAAGCGAACAACATGAAAATCAATAAGATGCTTACTACAAATAACAAAATCTTTCACACAAACCTTGAAATAGATAAAAAAGTTTTGATATAATTATTTACAATGTCTTATATTTAAGTGATATGTGAGCCTTAATTTTTATTTAGAAGTTTTAAATTTCATGCGAGTATCCAACTATAGTTATTATCCACTATTTTGAAATTAATATCATGTGTCAGTTCGCTTGAAAATCATAATTTTATATATGATAGAGACAAGTCATATATTATTTCTAAGTTACTATTTATTTATTTATGCAAGTTGTTTACTATTTGTTCAACAAATCCCTAATCCCTTGTGCCACCACATGTGACCTATTTTTTTCTAGCCATGTTAACACTTGGTCAAAGATGTAAATAGTTAAATGTTTTACTTCCAATATTTTTCCATCAACACACAATGATGGTTAAATTTCAAAGGATCAACAGAATGAGATTCAATCAATATATTTTAACATCTACAAGCTTTTTTATTCAAGGCCTCAACATCGTGTGTTTCCAACTCCATTAAATTATTATCAACCTGGTCAATATTTGAGGAGTAAAACTCTAGTAAAACTCTAGCATTTGACAATTATTGATCTCTCTTATAGCAAATGTCTATTCATGTAACATCTTGTAATGATATGACAATTTTAGTTCGACCAAAATCACCAATCAATCCCATCATTTCTATTATCTTACATTCATAGTTCATAAGTTTATATATCTTGAGGGATGTATTACTTCTTTAAGGCTATAAGCCCTCAAATTACTCTTTTAATACTTTCACCCACATCTTCTATCTCCAAATAAAAAAAAATGACACCACCAATCTCCACCTCAAACACCACCACATCCATTAATCACTTTACATTAAATCCCATTTTATCATGAACAATGAGAGTGCAATTTAGATTATCAACCCATCTTGATGCTCTCTAAAGACCCTCTTCTTCTTTTAACTATAGCCCTTTTAGGATGAGATTTTAGTGTTATTTGGAATCAATTTAAAAGAAGAAGCCTGCACATGATATCCAACCTCCACAACTCCTAAGTTGAGATATTCACAACAAACAATAACCCATGGTTTTGATAATGGTTTCCCTCCCATTTGTAGCAAATTATATTCCTTATGCTACATTGCTGAATTTGAAAAAAAGGTCTGCTTGGCTATGATTAAAACAATGTGCTTATTAGAGATTTGATTTGACATACTGTCCCGTTAGAACATTCATTTTAAGATCATTGTAATGATTGTGGTTGGAGAAGATCCAACCTATACTAGTCTTGTGAGGAGTAATTTTTTGTATTCTTAAAGATTCACAGGTGACCCCATTGAAACATCCTTGGAACTCATGAGCAATCTCATCTCACGGGTGCTGCAATACAAAGTGGAGTTATCCTTTAACATTTAATGATGATAAGAGGTTCCTTAATTGAACCATCATAGCCCTTACAAACAAGTGTCACATGAGTGGTTCGTAATTAACTAAAAGAAATTCAGATGTCAAATCATTTTTATCAATTTTGCATATGCAGGATTATGGAAATGTCATCTTTCCACGGCACCAATAATTTGAGTTTATATAAAATAATCATTGTTACATCTATATAAATTTTGTTGCTCTGTTGTAGATTATTTGTGCTAATTGAAGGTTTCTTAGATTATGTTTTCTTCTCTTTTATATAATTTGAGTACTGTAAAGGTCAAGGACTTCTTATTCCATGTACTTAGACAGCTTGTGATTGATGTTCCCTTACAAATAATGCAGTAAATTTATCTGTCTGATATTTATTGTTAGGAATTAAAATAATTTTGTTGTTTCTTTTGGTACTTTCGCAATCAAGTTTTTTTTTTTTGTTGCTACAGCTAAGAAATTTGGTTTGGGCTACATCAAAGCATGATGTCTACCTTATGTCAAATTACTCTGTCTTCCATTGGTCGGCTCTTACTCGGCAAAAGTCTGAAGTGTTAGACGTTTCAGGTCACATTGCGCCATCAGAGGTGATCCTTCCATGAAAAATGATGTCAGCATCTTATTTTTTTATTGATCATTTTTATTTTAATTTTTTTATGTTTTGATTTGAATTAAAATATTTTTGGTTATCGTACCTACTTTTAGAGGAATTAAGTTGATGTGTCATACTTTAAAATTATGGGAGAGGGTAATTGAACATAGGTTAAGACGCATCACAAAAATTTCTCATAATCAATTTGGATTTATGCCGAACAGGTCTACTATGGAAGCTATACATTTACTGAGAGGTTTGATGGAGAAGTTCAGAGATAATAATGAGAATCTACATTTGATTTTTATTGATTTAGAAAAAGCTTACGATAAGGTTCCAAGAGATATCCTTTGGAGAGTTCTCAAGAAGAAATGTGTTGATATGACTTATATTCAAGTCATTAAAGATATGTATACTAGAGCTGTTACTTGTGTTCAAACTGAAGGAGGATTGACAAAATATTTTCCTATTTCTGTTGGTTTACATCAGGGATCGACTTTAAGCCCATATCTTTTTGCTTTAGTTATGGATGGTCTTACTGGACATCTACAAGAGGATGTACCTTGGTGTATGCTTTTTGCTGATGATATTCTTCTCGTGGATAAAACAAGAGAAAAAGCCCA